CATATAGTTCAACAGCTCCGCCATACGGAGTACGAGTGAAACGAAACCAGCCTTTAAGAGCCTGAGGCGGGGACTCATAACTCACTTTTCCCTTACATGTTTCTATTTCCGGGCGATACAAACCCAAACAACTACGCGCGCGAGGTGAACATCTAATGGACATGAAGGCATCAGCAATATCGGTCCGAGTACACACCGCATAATAACGGGATTTGGTAAGGATTTGCACCAATTCTTGCTGGTGGAACTTGAAGGCCTTCACATCCGTCTTCTTATTCAGCACCAAGTATGGGAAGATAGGTCGAACACGTCGTCCTGAATCATTTCCAGCAACCGGGTAGGTGTTAGAGCAAGCAACGAGTTCAGGTGGTAGACCACTACTATAAGTACCAAATTTATCATCAGACATTATAGCCTATAATTTATAGGCTCCAACTTATCAGGAATAACCATCTCACGCAAGGTATCAGCTGCTCAGCAGCTGCTGCTGCTGCTACCCGTATCTCAGCAGGGGCTCGTGTAAACTTAGTATGAGAGAGAATTTCCCGTTTGAACGATGCCCTTGAATCAAGGGCCTTGATACCCTCTCAACATAAGGGGGAACATCATAAACATAGAACCTCTTTCCAATATTTGACCGGACATAGTATATTGCAGCTTCTTCGTCATAAGCAACGACCTCCTCAATCTCCCAACGTTCATCAAGCGATGCCCATCGTGGTGGTTTCAGTAATTCCTTGGCTAGAACTGAGTCAACCTTCCCAACAGGATCTATGAAGTTCATAGTATGAACACATCAGCTTCAGCATCAAGATGATCACCAGGATCACAGCTTATACCATCAACATCATCAAAGGTTGAAGTGCACCTTTTGGCGACAAGACCTTGCTGATTTGCATTGTGAACAAGCCAGACGAAGGAAGGAGTTCCTGGCAGCATCACAATCACCAGAAGAGGTAGGCACCAAATCATCAGGGTTTATCGAATTTCGATATGATGTGTACTGATACTCTTCTAGTCCCAGGAATTAGAGTGACTAATGGGACTGTGAGTCTTTCGAGGATGGCTCGACGGATGTTGAATGATTCCATTGAATGGTTTACTTTTATTCTCTCTTAGAGCTTCAAGAGGGGGGCATGTGAGGTGTTGTCCCCGTTTAGGAGATCTCCTGTGATAGTACACAAAGCTGATGCTATTGACCTGTCCCTCTAGCGCCCCCACGCTGTAGTTCTGTAGAACTCTATACTACTAAGTTTAGGGTTCAAGTTTGTATTTGCACCAATCTCTTATGTCGTTGAGTTCTAGAGGTCATGATTCCGGTGCTACAGCTGACACCCAGCCCTGTCAGCACTCGGTGACAGTCCATTCGGGCTCTCTCCATATAGCCTAGGCTATTGAATATGGCTCGAGCCCGCCTCCGGTGAAAAGGTCCCCTTGTGCGGGAAGGCCAAGTTCTAACGGGGGCCCCAAGTTTGCTGGCATCAAAATCGTCAAGAAGCCTACTCTCTTCCTCTGGCCTTCACCTATTGTGATCATCACAATGTGATGCGCTGGTGCATTACTGCGGTGGTCTTGGCTAACGGTCCTTCGCGGACTCTAGGACGGCTTTATCCTGGCTTCGAGGCGGAGATCGACTGACTTGCAAATCTATCGGAAGAGCCGCCGTATCGAGGCTATGCGAGGCTGTTTCGGGCATTCGGGATGCTTGGGATCGGCAATATAGCACTCGGCCCTACATGAGCCATCTACCAGGGGATCAAAACGCACAGGCCGATGTGCTGAGTCGGTTGGCCGAGGCGTGGAAAATCTCGAAGTCCATCATTCTCGACGGTCGTCCGGTATCAGTGTCACTTCTGGGCGAGTCAGACCCCCCGGATAATCAGGGGAGCATGCCCGACGATGATAACGAGCTCATTCGTGTCCTGTACGCTCTGCCATATAGGAGAGATGACCTACCTAGGAGCTCGCAGGTGATCAGCGCCGCCATTGGCAAGCCCTACCGACAGGAGCTTCTGCAAATCCAGCGTGACTCCCCAAAGGCTAGCGGTTTAATTGCTCAGCTGGAGACTAGCGGGGTCGACCACAAGGACTGTCAACTGGGTGAGGATGGAGTACTCTGGCACGACCCGAGTCAATAGATTGCTCGTCCCTCGTTCACGGTTCTATATCCCGGACGACACTGAAGCTGCGTCGATATATGCTAAGGGCCTCTTCGAGAAGTACTACCATGCTGAATCTGGGTGCCTCAACGATAGGTATCTAAGGTGGGAAGATTTTAGGGTTCTGCCAGACTGGACTGAACTCTGCGCCATCAAGGTCTCAAAGAATGAAGTGCCTTATGATCTCTTATATAAAGCTAAACCTCTTGAACCAAACTGATCGTCGTAAAATTTAGGCTGTTCTGCCAAAAGCAAGATCGATAATATTAAAGGCGTCCATGATCAATAACATGTGCGCGCATGCGACGAGAATTCCTTGCACGCATACGCGGTCTAAAGGTGCCTATTGCTCTGGCAATAACTTGGCAATCCCAATACGATTCTGGGCTGCTTGAAACTCGAGGTAATTTCCGACTAGCGTATAGTCGGGAAGGACCCACATGTCATCGGCGTCATCGGCATTAACTCTAATTTGGAGAAAACATATTCCGGATCGCATCGGGACATAACTCAAACTATCAATGGTTATCAATACGTCTCCTTGTAGAGCTTGTAGTCCAAAAGTAATGCTCGGCATGAACTCGCGATAAGCACAATTGATAGCCCATACCCCATATCCTGGCTGGTAAGCAATTTTCACCTTAGCCTTAGCCGCTTGGCTGGCTTGCTGGCTGATATCTCTTAGTAGTGAGCTGAAATACAATCTCGGGACATACATGTTGTTACTTCCAGTATCTAGGAGTAGGTGTTGTTTAATACCAATAGTCGTGTGCCCACTACCAACCTGGACAGAGCTCAGCATTACATTCCAATCATTAGATGAGACTGTTGGTACAAAACGTAAAGGACCCTTGTACACCCGAGAACTGCCACCACCCAAAAGTAGGGATCCATCGAATCCAGATGTCCCACTTTGATCCGGGTGTAGGTAGAGAGCGAATACCTTCTGCGCGATCACCCTCCTCTTTAAGAGCTGATCCATGATAGAGGGGTATCCCGGGTCGCTGATTTTAGCCAGGCCAAATGAAGCGTGAGGTTCAGCGTGAGGGGGAGGGGGAGACCTACCACAGACCAGACCGAAGGTCATACCTTCGTATGATGTTGTACCAAGAGAAAGTTTCCCAGCGTTTTGGAAAATAGTGACATCCACTCCACCGCCGAAGTTTATGGTCTGCGTGTGCTGGGGCGAGCAGCTCCTAATACAGGAGTAGCACTGGGCTGTGAGAGTCGTACAAGCACCCGTACCAGTTTGCTGTTCATACCAATCCTTCCAGACAAAAAATACATAGGGTGCTCCAGTATCCACGATGGGATTTTGAGGTTGACCGTCAGCTTGTATAGGCTGATATAGATTATTATCACCATTGTGCATGAACATACGAAAGATAGGTAGCTCCAGAGTTACTCCCATGACACCTTGTAAGGCAGTCCAGATGATGAGAGGGTAGGTGAGCATATGAGGTTACAGGAGACGGAGATAATCACGCTCTGGGAAGTACATCACAGCCTACATCGGTATGTATTAGTCTCGAGAACTCAACGTCCATTGGAAAGGGACGAAGACCAGTGAGTGTATTGAAACACCGAAACAACATCTATTGATGACGATCTGATAGCTCTGGTGTTATAACCTGGAGCTTCACGTGACTACGTAGCTTTTCCTTAGGGAAAAAGCTACGCGGCGCTGCGCTGGCGCGGCAGGCAGGCGCGGCGCTGGCGCGGCAGGCAGGCGCGGCGCTGGCGCGGCAGGCAGGCGCGGCGCTGGCGCGGCAGCCTGCCGCGCATTGCGTCGCAATGCATATCGGAGCGGATGAACCGATGTGCTGATTCAACAGAACAGTGTCTTCAGAGTAACCAGGACTTAGTAAAAGTTATATCAGAGTTCACCATGACGAACTGTTGTAGGTTGTACATTCTCTGGTGTAGTATGGGATGGAAAGTTGTGTAAGTTGACTCAACTTAGTTGAGTGAAAGTATTGCTACGTTTCCATACTCCAGTCCATTTGCCCTCCCTTTGTGTTTCACGGGTGAACATTACAAACTTTCAAGGCATGCGCTTCCTTGAGTGATAAATCGTCAAGGACCGCTGGTTGGCTTCGTTTTCATAATGGGAGATCGAGGGTCTTCAGAATGGCAGCTGACAGTGATGGTGCCTCACCGAATTATGATAACTGTAGTTTCCGGTCCGAGGACCTTAGGAACTTCAATCAAAGCAGCACTTAAGAAAGTTATGAAATCGTGAGTTGAATGACATGACTAGTGATACAGATACTCACTTGGTAGAACAATAACTCCCAGCGTTCATCCTATTTATTTCGCCTTCTCCGACTAGTTGAGGTGATGCTGGCATGCTTCGATGATTATTCGGTTTTTGGGAGCTGGAGTTAGCATGACAGTTCGTAATAATACTGCTGTCACCAGGGTATACAAAAATGCCGCCGTGCTTGTTGGGTTTGAGCAAGTCCCTCACGAAGGCCTTCATATTATAGATGGGCAGCGTAACGTTTTTTACGGTTCACGTTACGGCGTGCGTAACGTAAGCAGTTTAAGGTTACGGAAATGCCTTACGACTTTACGGTTGGTGCTGAACTGCTTTTTCAGAATTGTGGCAGAGGGATTCGCTGTAATGCACTCTACGATAGCTCAAATAGTTGTTAAACTCGTTTTTTGTGGCTCGGATTCAACGGAACCGATGAGAGAGTAACATTTGGTTTCGCATTCGCCACTCGTCTCATTTGCAAATTCCGTCCGTCTTACTCGCAGGCTGGCCCGGAACTGCCAAGCTGGCCTCATCCTCAATTCGCATTCACATGGAATAGATTTAGGCGACATGAATGATCAATTCTCGCTTTGTCCTCTGCATCTCCGTAAGACCCGTTACGGCGCCGTAATTTTACGCGCCAAGCCCCGCTACGGGGCTTGAAGCGTAACCGTAATAGTGAACCGTAACGGTCCGTAACGTAATTCTGCCCATCTATAAAAAATACTGATACCTGCGTGTGATGATGACCTGATGCATCGCATGATGCATTATCAACCATTGGAAGCAGTATACAGCCACCGTTCCCACCACGTATATGCTGTCCAACAGACAAAGCTGCATGTGCCTGTTGAATACCTGTAAAGGAGGGATCCACCGACACTAGTGTAGACACATATTCCAATATTGGGTATCAAAACTATTAACAGCACCTAGTAACCTAAAGCATGCCTCAGTGGGCACATCATCGACCTCATCTAGAGCCCGAGAAGCTCTCGCATTTGCGTCTGCATTCGGCAACATATCGAAGTCCGAACCAAATTACTTACTTGGTGATTGCCAGAAGCCCTCAGCATTGAACCCTGTAGAAAACCCCATAGACAAAAGAATGGATGAAGCCATGCTTACCTGACGCTTTTGTTGGTTTGTTTGCCATCCTAGCGCTACACAGTAACGCGGAGTTAACATTTAGTAGAAGTGGAGGTTCAATGCCGGCCTGCATCGTCTGCACACAGTGCATCTGAGAATAGCAATAGTGGAATCCTAACGGAATACAACGATATTACAATGACTTCGTTGGAGTAGAGTCCATCGTCATACGATAAGGCGCTTTTGCTTCTCTCACTGACTCTAGGATTCATGGTGAATACTCGATAAGATTGCACGTACTCAAGTAGTTATATTGCACGTACTCAAGACAAATGGATACGCAGATACGCAAGCACCAGTGGCGCCAGCCAGCTCATGCGTGTGCGTGGCACGCACTGCGTGCCGCACAGAAGCAAGGAAGCATGAGCATTCGGGCGCTTTTTTTGGCGCCGCGCGGGTCCGTTGGTAGTAACACCCACCCTGATTGACTCAACAACACTTGGGATAGCCATAATAGGTGATAAGGCTTCTTATTTTATCCATTTGAGCCTGAGGGCTGCGATCCGTTGATGCAACGAATAATGGACGAGCGAGATTCGTGCATACAGTGGTCACGCTGTGTGGCACGAAGTTCGTGCTTACGTGAATGCGCACGCGTTCATGGTTGCCTCTCGAGGCTGCCTCCCAAGCCATTCATACTCATATCATACCGTGTTAAACCTCAGTAATCTGGAAAGCTTTCCTCGCTTCCGAGTCTCGAGCTCCTGAGTTGCACCTGCGTAGTCTTCTCCTTTTCATCATATGCCAGCTAGCCCCAAAACAGCTACTGAGGTAGCAAGCCCACAGAAAGGTATGGGCTGGATAAGAGCCGCTAGTACGATTGTCATGGGCTGTGTTGGAGTTGGGATCTTGGCACTGCCGCGTACGGCAGCAAAATCCGGTTGGCTCGCTGCCCTGATTGGTCTAATTTTTGCCCAGACGATCGACATCGTTGTTCATACGCAGATCAGGCGAGTTAAGCACATGTTTGTGGTCTGTCTGAGCCTGCTGGTTACAATAGCATCAGGATTCCTCTAGAAACTACTGGTTCAGCGTTCTTGGATGCAGATTTTCTATAATTCCTGAGAAGGCAGATATTATTCCCCAAAGTAATTCCTTTCTTCCTTTCCCTAGGAATATTCCGGGAATAATTCCCCACTTTCAGCCACCCTGTACAGGAGCCATAATTGCACATGTGGTCTGGGTACAGCGAGCACAATCTTACGCCCGATGCATACGATATCTCTGATCCTTCGACAAATGCAGGAGGCTGGGTATGAAGGCGGGGACAATCTCTTAGGTTGTTCGCGTGAGAAACCATGGACGAAGGACCACTGTTCGAAGTCCCTCCGATCTGATCTGCAAGGCATTGGTGTTACGGACAACAACAAATACTACTGGTCTACGACGAGGAGGAAGCTGGTTACTCGGGAAAATCACTTCTCCGAACCTTGAGCCCAGAAAATGGAACACCTCAACGAACCATTTGATTACAGAGACGATGCATGAATCATTCGCAACGCGAAATCCGAATAGTGCTAATCTCGCACTGACACTCAGTCTGACAGTGTTTCACTGTGTGACCAACACAAACCGTTCACATGAATATCGATTCCTAACCATGAAATCAAATGATTAGGTTGATGGGATACAAAGAATGATCATCATAAGGCTTGATCAGCGTTTGAGAAAATACTCACAGCGTATCCTGAGTAATCGAATGGTAAGTATTACTCACCATTACCACTATTACTTACTAAGTAATGATGGATAACTCGTGATAGAGGGTCCGATGGTGAGTCATCAAAGACGCCATTGGCACATTAGGCCTGTGGTCTTTCCAATACGGTACGTAGCACAGAGGCTAGCTGCATCGTCAGTGCAGTGCTGGAGGAGACAAGCGACCTATCCGAAGAAACGCGAGCTGAACTTACATCGAAGGCCCGTGTACAGTCGAGGAGGCAGCGACCCAAAAAGCAATTGATAATAACTCTGGCGTCCGCAGGAGCCGGAAGACACTCCGAAGTTTGTGTGCATTTCGGAGCGCAGATCGCGTAGCCACCTCCACCGCTATCGCTCTACATGGGGAACTTCACCCGCGCAATCACATGATCAGCCGACTTGAAAAAAGAATAGGCTCTGTTGGTTCGGGCAATCACAATTCTCGGGTGTTCCGTCTTTAGACCAAATGCAGCCCGTGGGTCTACCGTAGTATGGCAAATCAGGGTTCTCCACTAGCCTGTCCATATCTGACACTAGCAAAGAGCAGGTATTACAGGAACCCAGATGAGCCTTTCACCAATAGTCTGCCCCTTGTCGATACTCTCGTCATAAGACCTAATCAAAGAATTAATCCGAATTCAATCAATGCAGTCTTATGGGTCAAGAACTTACACAGGCAGTTCGCCGATATTGAGCCTGTTGCCCGAGACAATGAACAGAGCGACGAGAAGAATGATGGAACACATGACGTACGTAAATACACTATATGAAGAACTGAAGCTCACTGACAACTAACTAAAACTAACTGACAGCTCATCCACTATCAGCTCCCGTCCCGATCCCGTTTTCACACTCGAGGACTTCAGGAGGTTCCGCTCAAAGATTTACGACATTGCGATATCTATCTCAGCTTGAAATTGAACAGATAGTAATGAGAATATTGTTGAGGTCCGTATTGTTCCCTCGCACCAAGGCGACCCGACATTAGCTCGAGAGATGCATCCCAAACATACATTGGTACCTCGAGTCAGATGGCTACCGAGCAATTAGTGCTCGATTAGCGTATTAGCAATACGTGACATGCTTCATACCAGCGCTAGATCATGCAACCGCAGGGAATAACGCGTACGTATGACATGCGTACATGTGTTGCATATACGTGGAGGCCTTTCTGTAAATACGTGCAGGCTACAACGTCTCTTTTTTGAGGAAGTAAAACTCTTCCAAGGGCCGATTAGCAGCACCTTGGTGTTAGGCACCTGCTTTTCCCAAAGCTTCAATATATGCCATGATGCCATAAGCGTGCGCCAGGGGTGGGGGGTCCTGAACGGGGGCGCCCAAACCTTTTACGCAATCACGCAGGTGCGACCTGTCTATTGGATAGGGCGGCAAATGAAAAAGCCAAATTCAAACGAGCCGTGGAAACTGGCTGATTATCCGTGTACACATAGAACTCTACGCTAATGGGTACCCTCTCAAGTATAGTTGGAACTGAAATCCTGTGATCAAAGATTGGTCTTGAAATGTTTGAATTCACGCGGTGCTGCGTGAGTATTGCGCCGCGCCATACTCACGTATGTTGGCTGTGTCTATTGATCCCTTGAGATCTTGAAGTCCTGCTGTTCTCAGGAGTAGAATAGCTATGTGGTTATTGAGCTGTAGCACAAAGCTTATTCTCTATTTCGATGTACTTGATACGAGATCGATCCTATCTTGGACCTATCCTATCTTGGTTATACTTGTTATCTGAATACTCTCGATTGTAATGAATCAACAAGAACTATGTAAGAACTATGTGAGAAGATGTCATCTTCATATTGGCTTGCTTCTGGCTAAGTTATGTACCCTCTTCCGTTGAGCATCTTTGTGGCTCCGTTCTCCATTCAGGCTGCTGTACTTCCCTTAAAGCTAAGTTACGTTCCCTCACAATCTAATCGTAGTTCTTGAGGCTAAGTCTCGTCATCTCACGTCTAAATTATGTCTCCTCAGAACTATGCTATATAACTGTATAACTATGGTAACTATGATATATGATATGATAGATATCGGGATGTACAAGTAGATTGTCGGCAGTATAATAATGACAGTTTGGTCGGGAGGAAGTAGTAGTCCCCGACAATTTTGTCATTGTAAGCATTGATATGACAAGATTGTCGGTAGGATCGACTCGCAGCGAGTTCGATGCTTGAATCCTTCGGGGATCACTTTCTGCATTCCGCTACTGGACAATCTAGGCTCGTCTTCAATCACCGTCCTGGCGATAGTATCAATATATTGCTCGAAGCAGAGCCAGGATATGGCAATTCCAGCCTTGCCAGGAGGAAGGTTGGGTTCTGCCAGTAGTACTAGTAGTAGTACCCAAGTTGAGCATTAGGATCACGTCGAGCGTGATTAGATTGACTGTATATGGGTAGGACCTCATTCACTGCCGGGATCCAGTACCGATATTCTCGTCGACGTGTTTTAACTCAGTCTCAGACACCATCATCATAATAAACCTGTTCAAGATGGAGCCGCCTACTTCTTCAAGTGATTCAGGGCTGTGGTCGTAGTCCCACCCTCGATGAGTTAGTCTTGGAGGAACAGAAGTGGGGAAATCTATGCGTGCTACTCTGAGGTACTCATTCGATCCAGGCAGGATTTCATTGGGTGGCAACGAGATGACGGATGCTCAGCGATCCATATTGAACCAACCTGAGACGGACTACTGACTACGGAAGTATACAAAGCATATTAACAATAGAGTTTCACCCGTGCTGTGTAAAACGCTAGTGTTAAATGCATAACGCATTAAGCAACGCGAAATAGACGATTTTAGAGCTCCAAACGCGAAGAATGCGTTGGCGTTAAACATACCGTCATCCATAACGCGTTGACATAACGCATGAGAGGCAAAACGCAATTAACAGGACAACAAGAAATTTAGACGATAGAAACTATGCGGCAGGCCCAATCCGAGCTTGCTGATGATAAACGAAATCGAAGTTAATTAAAGTTCTACAAGCGCAAACCATCCTGTGGGGCTTATTTCCAGCTCTGTGCACATGGCCTCTAGCTCTCGTGTCCAGAATATCGAAGCGTTTCAAAAAGTCGAACGCTCGCTACTATACTCCTCACGCTCGTATTAGAAACGTTCTACGTTACGCTCAAGTCTCGTGATGGGAAGTGATCCACGCGTTGTGTTGTGTTTTACGCGTTTAACACTTCGCGTAACGCGGTAAACACGTTATGACTCGTTATCGCGTTAGAGATTTTCGTGATATTGCGTTTCCCGCGTGCGTTTTGACGCTAAGTATTATCTCAACAGAACATACCGCGATTTTCGCGTAAAACACTTCGCGTAAAACAGGTGAAACTCCAATGTTAATATGACTCCTTATGCTGATGGCTCACCGCGTTGCCCTTTCCTTGTCTATCGAGGACGTAGTAGGATGATTGGCTATATTTGATGGCCTTGAACCTCCCAGTTGATGGACTGAAGAGCTTGCACAGTTATATCGAGACCGACAAGGAGAAGGCCGTACAGTTTTATTGAAAGAGCTTGCTGATGTATGGTGGTTACGTAGGGGTAATGTTCGAGAGAGGTTGATGAGTCGTGTTAAGAGACATGCTGGTCGAGATCTTATTGAGGGTGAAAAAGTCTGTCGTTGGCGTCCTATGTTAGGCAGATTTGGAAAGCTCGATACTGGTTGGTCTCCAGCTGTGTTGGTTAAGAGAATGAGTGATAGTGTTTATAAGGTGCGTTTGCCTGATAGTAAGGAAGTGAACGAGAGTGTGCTTAACCTTCGTCCGGCGGGAGTGTGCCCGTAACGGCTCCTTTATAGAAATAGCTGATGGGAAGCTGTTGTGATTTTGTGTGTGTCTCTAGTCTCCATGATCGTGTTCAAGCGTCAAGCTAGTGGACTCAGATTCATAACTAACTAAAGTTGTGGTTGTTATTGTTGTGGTTATTCCCGACATCATTGAAGTTGCGTGAAGCTCTATTGTAGTATCTACCTTGTCATCAAGTTTATCGCCTAGATCCTTTGTATACTTCGACGGTCAAGAGTCTTGAGTTTTATCAATCCCGTCATTGAACGGCAGTCTGCTGGAGACGAAATGCGTAGATCAACGATGAAACACGAGTGAGAAAACCACTCGCGTTAACTCAATGTATTCGTAACATAACGAAGTTTCATTAATACAATTGATGACTGCCTCATTACGATCACACTCAGTGCGATTCAATTTTCGTCAATTCAAATGGTAGGTCACCGCGCAACATTCACCGCGGCAACCGCGATATGATAAACGAAAATACCACTCCGCGCAATACCACCACCAAATACCGCGTTTTCAGCGAAAAGTTCCAGCCGGTTACCATTCCGCGAAGCGGAACCCCGTACATCCCACTCTTATTCACCACGTTTATCTCCGCGCCACGGGTACCATTGAGTTCTTATCGACTAGCATAAAGCTTGATTATGCTCAACAATGGGTGGGTTCGTTCCCGTTGAATGAGAACTCCTCACTCGCATATCTCAACTTCGCTTCCGAGATGTTGAGACACTCCCGCAACGAAATATGCGAGCCACTGTGTATTGTACACTGTGTACACATGTACACTGTGTATTGTACTGTGACCCTCCACCTTCCAACATTGCCTGTACATGCAAAATTTGCATTGCAAACTGTTGCTCAGGAGTGACTACTGTTTCCACGTTTGCCGCAATGCGACTGATCTAGCTCGAGGGTTGTATTTCCACATCCTAGACTTACATGCTTCCGTGGCTGAATGAACATGAGCATTTTATTTCCAGTCTTTGGCAGGAACATTCTCTTATATTTACCGTTTCTTGTCTTATCGTGTTGGGCAGAGTGGCAGCATTCGTGGCATGACGAAATTCTTTATTGAGAATGTCGCATCTGGCGATATGGCACTGCGATAGCCATGGCCTCGTGGTCGCCGTCGATAAAACGGCGTTTCAAAAACGCCTTCACTATAAATTACGGTAGCTCACGGTGATGATCCAACTTCAGTCTACTACTTATGTAACACTAATACATTGCAAAGCTAGGCTAGGATACGAGCGGCACAACGGGGACAGACATACTTTGTATGCTAGGATACTTATCCCACAACTATTCCCCCTCTTTTCATGAGTGAGGTGATCACATACAAAGAAAATTATCCTATCAAACATACGACTCCGACTAACAAAAATTTGCCCTTTGGGCGGGCAAGCGTCAAAATTTCGCGGAAAGGAAATTTCATCACGGAAAATTTCGGAAACGGTGGAAATGGAAATTTCCGTGTAAATCTCGCACGCCATGCGGGCGCGCGAGACATGCGATCAGCCAGGTATGCCCACCGGACCCAACGTATGCCACTTCCGGGCCCAACGTATGTCATGCCAAATAGGGTGGTTTGAACCAGAGAAATCGCGGCCCTTCGGCCCGCTATAGTAGCCATGTCATCTTAGGGTGTTATACGAGTCTGGCCGAGGCTGGCCGAGTTCTGCTTCAGTTTGTATCCTAGGTAACTGAGTCTACTGTTCTGGGTCGAACGTGAGCACAAGCTTGGGCTCTTAGAGGGGAAATGAGATATTTCATCTCGTTTTTCATCCACCAATGGTGGACCACCATAATCATTCTGAATTACGGGAGAAAGTGATCGATGTCTACGCCCTATGGCCCATAGGGCCCAAACCCATAGGCTATGGGTCTCCACCTCGGATACCGTCCATCATGCTGGGGCTCAGCAGCTTATCCAAAGTGACGCAAATTCGTGCGAGTTACAGCTAACGTGTGAATGCGAACATTACCGCCGAAGATGTACTCGATAGAACGCAAGATATGGTGGACTTAGTCCACTGGACTCCAGCCAAGTAGGTCGATAGCGTCAACCGTGAAAATAACTGGAGCTACGCCAACACTATTCGACTCTCGAGAGAGAGAACGCAAGATTGCAAGATATTCGGAGAATCGCTAACTCTTGAGAGGCTCACGCGCACGCCCACCTGATCGATATCTGAGGGTAACCGCAAGATGTATTCATAGTGACCAGTAGACACCTGCGAACGCCTTCACTAGCTTTATTCGACCATTATGAATGAATCTGAACTACTTCTCTCCTCTCTACTACCCTGGGCACGATTTTTTGGGCATTTTTAGCAAATTTCCAAGAATTTCCAGCCTCAACGGAAATTTCTGAAATTTTCTCGAAAATTTCCTTCGGAAATTTCCGCCCGTGCCCAAAGGGCAAACCCTGCTTGTGGTACTGTCCAGACCAATCCTCAATCTCCTCACTGGCTGCTTAACTCTTGTACTTCTTCTTAACGGCTACTGATCTTCTTCTCTATCGGCTAAAGCATCTTCTATCTGCTCTTCATCACTTCTAGCTGTACTTGCTTCAACATCAACTTCTCTACTACTTCTCAACTTGCTCTTCTCTACTATTTGGGCTTTGATCTTATTGGTTGAAAGCTGGAGCTTATCGGGTTTCACATACCGCAGACTAACCAAACGCTTGGTCTCACCATTGGTGATAATCAACAGTATTGGGGTACTGAGCGGACGGGGAGTGTAGGATCCACCAACCAGCCTGCCAGACATTTGCCAGCTTGTTGTCCACATTGATACCCCCAATTCTTCTAGTATATAGGAGTACTTTACGACCTTCACCGTAGTCTTCACCTCCAGAGCTGCAGCATAAGCAATAGTATTAGAAACAAGCTTATAGGGATTACTACTATGGTCGAGTAGTGCATGGTTATTCGAAAGGAAATCAACCCTTAGCAAGGGAAATCGCAACGATTCACTATTGGGAACCTAAAAATCATGCACAACTGTATATTCATTACTTGATCTAAAAAAGAAAGCTCCGTAACACAGTCCAGACTCTCAGTAGTAGTAACAGTATTAACAATACGTGATGGGGCTATATAACGAAGTTTAGGAAATGGACAGATCAGTCGTAAAAGATGGCTAGGGAATATAGATAAGGAAGAAGCAGTATCAACCCCCTATCAAGTCCCTGGCAAGGTGACCAGTTCGTCCACAAGAATAACACCTATTAAACCAAAAGGGATCCTTGTGCCCTTGTAACCTTTACCAGGTGAGCCCTTGAAGCCTTTACCGCCCTTGCCACCTTTGACGTTGTAGTTGCCCCTTGCTTTACCCTTTCCCCCATAGTGAGGCGAATCGTAACCAGCATAAAAACTCAGCTCCTGCTTCCGTTGATCAGATATCTCTTTCCCACGGCTTATAGTTTTAGCTCTCTCTACCATCTCACTCAGAGTCTGTAATTTGAGCATTCTCAGTTCTTCCGCCATTCCAACATCAATACACCTTATTCAAGTCAGTACGATCAGAGACAAGCGGAATATGAGGAATATGGAAGCTATTTCTCATATCATATTCCTCATATCAGAGGAATATGATCATAAACAACCTGCACTTTATCTTCCAAGGACAGCGGAACATATACATAAGCCTTCTCGCCCCAATTATAAAATTAGGCTATCGTCTCTAACTTCTTAAACGAACCCTCGATCTCGGCAAGAGTCAACTCAGAACCCGTTAAGGACGTAGGGGTAATCTTCAGTTGCATATTAGAAGTTGACGTTGACCCCATTGCATATAGAGACCGACTTAAAGAAAGACGTCTTCTGTTTGTCGAAGGAGCTGCTACAAAGTAATAAATCACCAAGTTACTAAGTTGTGCTAGGATACTTATCCTACATAGGCTCATCTGAGTGCATGGCTCCTTCACTAGTATATAATCACTATTAGTGATTCACTAACATCCGCGTGCCAAAGTACACGTTTTCGCCTCTCCCCGTCGACGCAAACTCCCGAGTCAAACAGGACTTCATGACGGAGAGCCGAACGGCATAAAACAAATACCGACGAGTTCGTTTTCACGTACGGCAACTGTTGTGGAAGCCTCAATCCGACAGACGCTTTATACGTAGCCACCAAACTGTCTTAGCCCAGCTTCGTTGACTGCTTTCACGTTCTTATGCAAGCTGTTGTAGTGACATCCAAACCCAGACTGACATAGTTCCCAGTGTGGCACACCGAGTTCGCGGCAGACCCCTAGAATCGCAATCATTCTCGTGGTCCATTCTCTAGGAGAGAATCTTTCCGAAAAGTTTGTCGTCTTGAGAAATCTTTAATCTTGCCGAAACAAATTGACTGTGGAGGTTTCGAAGCTGGGGATATTTAAGCTCTCACGTTCTCAGCACTGCAGTTCATGCGTGCTACTCGAGAACAACACAAACAGCCTGAACTTCAGGCCTTGGAGCGCAGGGCTTATGGTTTTCTCCTGTGGCCTCCTTCGGAAATACTTCCCGACCAGTGGTGTCCTTGTACATTCTAAGTTAGAATTTCTAACGTAGACTTGTGATTCCGAAGCCATATTACCGCATGTCAATGATCTATCATTCATTCATCACAATCACCTGCATCTGGTCTTTCTGGGAGACCTCAATCCTGGCCATAAGACATGCCAAAAGCATATTCGATGACCTCAAGGCTCAAAGAGGTGCGCCTGAGTCCACCATGTCGACAGCCTGGGAGAACAACAGTAACTCCCATCTTCAGGATTGGTATATACTCCTGCAGAAGAAGCCCAGCATTTCGCTCGTTTCGAAGAGGAGTTGGGGATCCAGTCCGAACTCATCTCGATTGAAGATTTGACGATCCTCTACGATGAGACCAGACCGGCCATCATGCAGAGTCTCGTTGACGAGATCAATTCCAAGCAGACCACATGGACCGCGTCGACTGGGCAAAAAAGATTCAAGAGTAGCTCTACTTCCCAAGTGTTTGTCGAAGCATCTGTCTTTTTTCCTTAGACCTCTCCCTGCGTGATGCTAAGATGCTATGTGGGACGCGGATGAGAGGGTCAAACGACAAAGTCATAAGAAAAGGCTACGCTATAGAAGAACTACAAGATCTTCCAACTGACTTCGACGCTCGCACCGCATTTCCCAATTGCTCAAAGGTTATCGGCCACATCAGGTAGGTAACCGGCGACTATGTGAGAAAATGCTGCCTCGATCTCCAGAGACCAGTCAGCTTGTGGAAGCTGTTGGGCATTCGGTGTCACTGAGGCCTTCAATGACCGCTTATGTGTCAAGTCGAATGGGACGTTCACGGAGCTCCTATCGGCCGGCGAGATGAATGCTTGTGCGCCGTGAGTCGAGGATGGAAGACTTAGACTGGGAGCTTTCCAGTCGGTACTTTCTGCCCAGGTCCTACGGATGCGATGGTGGATATCCTGATTCAGCCTGGTCTTGGGTGCACGATGAAGGGATCGCAACTGGTGAGGGCAGCCGACCGAAAGGGATCTCGGGATCCGATGCGAGTTTGCTACGACTCATCCTCGACTATTCAAAAGTCACCCTTGTCTAAAGAATGAAGACAGGGGAGACCTACACTGTAAACGCTGGGAAATGTGATGATAATCCCGGCAGGGGTCGCTCAGCGGCCAGTGAGGACGACAGCGACCGTCGCTGTCGTTCTCAACAATGAGCCAGCGACGATGACTCCTGTTGTAGCATCGTCTGGGATGACTTGTCCCAGTACAGTGGGCTAATTTATGGAAACTGAATCTCCGATATTCACATATGCTGCACAATCCTAGAGTATAGTAGAGCATTTCTTTCGTTGCTCAGGTGGAGATTACGTTGCAAGAGGTAATTTGACTAAAGGCGATGGGTGCTGGCCGTACGATTTCCCGCCATGCGCTCATCATATCAATGACACCAAGTACCCCAAATGCCCGAAGGTAAGCTGTAGCGGCAAGTCGCCGCCGGCGATCGCTGAGGCAGTCACTGTCATTGCCTATCAGGGCTCATACGAGACTCCCAACTGTGTTGAACAATGCCACAACCCGAAGTATTCAACCAGTTTGAAAAAGTAAAGGAAGGTTAAGCTAAGTCAAATGAATCGAGGTTATCATTCTCAGTGATCGTCATTACATGTTGGAATCCTCTCCGTATCAATACTCTGTGAACAATGCCAAAAATGCTATCAGGACCGATGGCCCAGTAGGACCGATCCACTCGTGTGATCCAAACGTTAACTTCGATCAGGTTTCGGCTTCGTACCTTGTTTACGAAGATTTCCTAGCCTACAAGTCCGGTGTATACAAGCATACTTCTGGTTCATATCTCGGTGGACATGCTGTGAAGATAATTGGTTGGGGTGAGGAGAATGGAGAAGCTTACTGGCTTGTCGTGAACTCCTGGAATGAAGACTGGGGTGACCACGGGCTTTTCAAAATAGCCCTTGGAAACTGTCAAATAGATGACGACCTGCTTGGTGGTACACCTAAAGTCTGAGTGGATCTCCTCCATTGTAGATGTGAACTGGATGAAACACATCTCATTCAAATCAGGACGATTTTCTTTCGTTCGTAGTCATTTTTCTCTTTGGCAGCATAAAGGCTTATATTCGTTTCGTGTTTGTTGGATGTGAATGAACAGCTGATTGTTGGAACTTTTCAACAGAAGTCATCTGGACATTGTTCAAAAAATGACAAGTCGCATATTTAGTCCTTTCCGACTCTCCTTATCAGCATGTACTACCCGACTCATGCTTATCGAGTTACTAGTATCGTACGGGATGTGGTTGAGTATGTGACGAACCCCCCATGCTTCGCTTTGTGCTCCTCCTTATTCCGGCTCTTCAGATCTCTTGAGATAATAATCACCTCAATCACTTCTCTAATATAGGTATCATACCCGGTATGGAAATGCGCCCGTTTCCGGGTTTACGGCTCAACTCGTAACTGTATGTATGCAACTATGATTTGATTCAACGTTGGTCTCAACGTTACATTCAGCGCCTCCAGAAACGCCAGCATCCGGGATTTCGAGACCAATACTTATTTACAATGCGACAATACTACAATACTTATTACCACAAATTATTTGCTAATGTGTTCCCAAGGAGAATGAACTATGTGATGAAAGTGCGTATAGTTTTACGCTTTATCTAAACTGTCAATGTCCCGTATCGAATGTAGAGTATTTATTGGATACTTTCTGATACCAGAATTCAGCAATATATTGCATCAATATCTGCGGTCAAATTACTTTCTCTATGGTTGATCGCACATCATTCACTCTCGCGTATCCGTAATCGATGTACGTATATTTTCAGCTGAATACTCGATTAGGATTCAATGTATATTGAATCTCGATCTTAATCTGAATCTTAGTTCATTGAACTTGCTTAGATGAGACGGCGTAGACGTCAGCAATTACTCAATCCATCTTGAAGCTATTATGATATTGCCAAAAGTGCTATTGTAGCTTGATAGGCAATAAACTGTGTCAAATAGTGAGAGAAGCATTGAGGGAACAAGCTACGGTGAGAAGTTGCATGCTGAGGAAAGAGCTCTGAAGGATAAATGTCGGTCGAAGGAACCACTTATCGTTGGTGCATCCTTTGATATAGAATGAGATCTATTCCAGCAAAAGATTAACTAGATAATCTGGAGAAAATGTGGTATGAGAATAGTCGTATGATACGTATCATACGATATAGTATGATACGACTCGTATCATATAACCCATGTCCGATTGACATGTCTCTGAGAACGGTTTGTTTTTCTTGTTCCTATACAAGCCGTAAATACTATTGGAAACCGTACAAAAATAGCAGAAGAATGATTATTGTACGAGTTTTGAAGCACAATGAACAAGGAGTACAGTTGAGGTAGAACTAGTAGGAGAATATTACAGGTAACACTACTACTGATATATGATGATAATGCAATAGTACAACCGAGTGATAATGTAAGTAGTCGTAGTATATATGTGAAGCTAGTCATACTATTGTCCATCGTCAGGATGGCTGAAAGTGGGGGGATTATTCCTATTATTCCCGGGAATTTTCACAAGGAAGGAAAGAAAGGAATTATTTTGGAGAATAATACCTGCCTTTTCGGGAATGATAGATAGTTTCTGAAGGAATCCTGATGCTATTGTAACCAGTAGGTCCAGACAGACCACAAACATGTGCCTAACTCACCTATGGCCAATACAACAACTGAGAATACTACTCATGAACGATATGTTATACTGATGCTGAGGCTCATCCACTGGACCCAACCCGGGGTTATTGCCTAAGGTGATTTGATAAAGTGAGAAAAAGCCGAAAAAGTGAGAAAATGCGAGGGAGTTCATATTTTCTTCTTGGCCGTGCGGCCGAGACTCTCGGCCCGAGAGAGTTCACTGAAGTGCATATGAGCCTTCTCAAGACTTCTTGTTCATGTTTTTCGGAGCAAACGCCGGTTATTTTTACTATAATTTTCCGAACGAGGTCTATTGTTCCCCTTTCAGTCCATCGTACTTATTCTATGACCAGTGTGTGGGAGAATATGCACATAGTTGACAACATGTGTCGGTAGCAAATCGTTTCCATATCGAAATTCCGAGGAAACCTAGGGACGTTCTTGTCGGTTTCTGCACACTTCTACCCAAATTCGTATGTGATCTTCTATAATATTGAGGAAACTCTTGAGCTCAGCTAGGAAACCGAACATATATTCCAACACTGTTTTTTCCCGAGATATCATTCTTGTCAGTCGTGCATGATCTGGCCAATGTAACGGTGATGAATGAGAAACTGTGCAAGGCGTTACAAAGTCTGGGAGGAGGCGACGACGATTACTTCACGTTTGTGATAGACCGCCGAATGCACTGCGAGACACATAACCTGACATATACCGCAAACAGAATTTAAATATACCCCGCCTTTTCCCGGAACCCCTATCATCTATCATATTCTGTTCAGCCCATACCAGAGCTGATTGTATCACCATCCCAAGAGCGATACTGTATCGCTCTTGGGATGGTGATACAATGAGACTGTAACAGTCTATGAGTACATCGTTGTTGTTATAGATGTACACGAAAAGCAAGAAAAATAGCAGAAAACTATTACTAATGTGATGAGCGATTTCAAGGAAGAATGTGCAGCGATGGAAGAGGAAAGGAAGAAGACCGCTGAGGAGAACTCCATCTCAGTAACACTCTGAAAATACTCCTCACGAGTGACTGGTTTTTGTGATATAGTTCTAATTGAATAATTACAGATACTGAATCTACGGGAAATTCTCTATTGTATAGTCATTCCGGTTCCCTCTGTCCGTTTAGGACAGAAGGATAGGACGTCATCGAGGATTCCTCAATGACGTTACAATGGTCGCAATGTATTCAACTTCTGCACAAGTTTTGATCATCAAACCTTGATATCAGGCGTATTGCTTAGTTTTCTCGGTATTCTTGATCGTTGTAACGATTTTCCTTCTTGGCAGGCTTAGAACGAAATTGAAAGGGTTCCTTGGAGACGTTAATGAACAGAGATCAGAAACTCAGATCAAACAGAAGATGATGGATGGATTCTTGGAGCAGTATAACAAAGTCCCCTTCGAATGTGTATTGTTGAGGGTACGCTTGGTATGCTAGGCGGACAGGCGATGACCATGGTCGGTGGCACTACTATGACAGGATTCCTTTCTAGTCCGGAGGTCAGATGATGTCGGAGTGTCGTGGAAAGAGGTAGGCCCGACAGGCTTTAGTATTCCGTGATTTGATGGTATTCAGATAACGCTAGATAGAGACTTTTGTTTCCGAGGAGGAATGGCTGTCGTTCAGCACAATCCGAGCGGTATGCTAGTTTTATGCGGTGGTGAAATAACAACCACTCAAGGTGGTAAGAAGGATCGACATTAGATAGACGCGATGGTTTCTCCGTGTAGGCATGGGTGAGCCGAGTAACGATGTCGATCAGTGCAGTTCCGAGTCGGAACGTCGGCACTTCCGACGTTTGGATTAGTCGAGATGAAGGATTCTCATGGGTTAAGCCTTCCACTACGACCAGTGAGAGATGCTGTTATTACGTCGTTGGACTATTCTGAGCAGCCAATGGGTGTTCGCCAAGATGGACTGAGTCCATTGGACTCCCCGAAACCATATCAAAACGTTGGCAAGCTAGATGTCTCGTTTGATGTGTGGCATTACATTCTGACCGTCTAATGCCGGTGGGTGAAGAACTGCGGTCAGAAAAACGTGTGAATGATGCATGGCTGTGTACTGGTGCTACTGACGCGGTGGCGGCTAACGATCAACATCAATGGCTGCTGCGTCCGAGGGAGTATGTTCGTTCACTGATAGTGGATGTTGTACATGCAAAATATAATTATCATTATTAGTGGAGAGTAGTGGAAACATGATGACACACTTTGCCATTGTGCCACTAGCTCGTTTATGCCAGAACACATAATCGGTTGCCAATAGGCTCGAGACCGGTATCCGGAGCCGATCCCGGCAGTGATTGGGACAGTTGTTCCGTGGCGTTGAGCGAAGCAGTTTTCCTTTGTGTTGTACCCATACACAAAGGATTTTTGTCCCCTAGCGTTTCGCTAGGAACATTGCCATCATTATTCACTAATAATATATACAACTTGTATTTCCTTAATTTCCTCTCAATTTATGTCCTCCAGTAATGTTCAGTCTGTGTTGCGTTCAACTGGTGCCCAGACTCCAGTCGATCGTCTGAACATGACTCTTTCCGATATCATCCGTATGGATGGTATTCAGGAACCCTCGGACGTGTCTGAGGAGATTCGTCCTGATGGAGAGTTGGAAAACGCTGATCCAATTCCCAGGACATATGAAGAAGCTCCCGGGGTAGACCAGGGGCAGGAACAGCCCACTCAAGAAGGCAATTTTGGTGTGAATCTTGATGGAGGAAATCGAGACTTGAACTCGTTCCCCAAGATACCACAAACCTTTGATGACCAGCCAAAATCAACCCTTAGGAGTGATCGACGGCAAGGCCAACGGATGTCTGAACTCCGTAAGAATGTAGTTAAATTCTCTGGTACTCCAAAAGAAGATGTTGAAGAGTGGCTTGATAAGCTTGACATGATTGCAGGGCCAGACGGGTTTAATCTCAACTATCATGATCAAGCCTTGCTTTTGCGCCTATCCGTTTCGGGTGACGCATACCAAGCTGTTCTTATGGTCCGGCCTGGTGATCCTAAGACAGATCCACAACAGAAAGGTTATTTGGCCCGTGTTCGCTCCGAACTACGAAAAAGGTTTGGCAAAAGTCCTGATCGAGCGATCAACAACTTGTGTGATATTAGCTTCACCAACTATGACACTGTTGACGAGTATGCTACTGCTATTAATCGACTGGTGAGGCAAACATGTCCCAATACTCATCGGGAATGTCAGGGCGAATGGAAGAAGATATTCTTCTATCGCGGATTGCCTCATAACTTCCCAGCAAGTGCTTCGATCAAACCGTTCTGCCTTGACCCGACTTTAACATTCGAGCAGGTTCTGGAAAAGGCCAGACTGTATTTTGACAGCAACGCGGAAGCACGTGTTGCTGCTCCGGGTGTCCGTCGGAGTATTGGCAAGGGCGGTAAAGGACGAGGCAAGGGAAAAGGGAGAAGAAGCAACCACTTTTTCAAGCAAGCTGACTTAAATAAAGACAAGGTTCATTGTGACTTTTGTCACCGACATAACCATACGATTGAAACATGCAGGGACTTGGCAAGAGCAAGAATGCTATTAAAGGTAAGCAACCTCGGAGAGAGATTTCACCCTATCAGCTCGTCGGTTCCCCTATTGATTGAGCATGAATATGGTTTAACATGTCTTGTCGATTCAGGGTCAAGCGACACAATCATCGCCCAAACAGCCCTAGAGAAGATCTATGGTGATGAAATTCCAGTGGTGCGGCAGTCAGTCGCCATATCAACAATCAAAGGCCCACAATACTGTGATGTTCATAATATCCCTTCCTATGTGTTGAGTTGTGATCCATCCGATGTGAAGCACATGGAAGTGTTGGTAGCAAAGACCGATCACCTAATCAAGGTTGGGAATTACAGTGTTGATGTGATACTGGGCTGTGATTGGATACGAAAGCATGCACCGGTCGTAATCACAAAGTCCAATACTAATGAAGTGACCGTAGAACAAGGTCTTAAACAATCAAGCATAGCAGCGGCGGTTGCCGTAAATAGCCAAGACGTTCTATCAAATGATGGCTTCAAACAAACAGCCGTCATAGAAGATACTGATTTCAGGGCAGTACGTCTAACGGGATCAGATGGAAACTCGAGGTGGAGAGTACAATGGAAATGGACAACTAAAACACCTCCACCACGAGTTTTCCGGCCTGCTACGTACCACAAACAGATGCAAACTCTGACTGATTCACAGCTAGACCTCTGGCGAAAAGAGCTAGAGAATTGGGAAAAACAAGGCTTCATTGAAGAAGTCCCACGCTGTGAACTGAATGGAACATTGACACTTATGGCAGCAGTTCAAGAACATAAGGTGTCTACGCTATGTAGACCAGTCATAGATTATAAGCCCTTGAATAACCAGATAATTTCATTCCCAAATTCTGATGATCACGTCACTTGTCAAGACATAATAAGGCGTTGGAGAGCTGGTAAAGCTAAAGATGGGCATAGTGTTGGAAAATGGGTATTGATTGATATTCGAAAGGCATACTTGTGTATAGAAATGCAGCGTGATTGTGCCAATTACCAAGGCCTTATCATTGAAGGCCCAAATGGCGAAACCCGGTATGTGCGCCTCAATAGATTAGGCTTCGGCGTAAACATAGCCCCTAAGGTCCTAAGACGGATTATAATGTATATCTTGCAGGAAGCTGGACTCGAAAATTCGATAGAGATATTTGTTGATGATATTCGAGTTCCAGTTGACTATGTTGAAAAAAATGTGGCCGTGTTAAATCGGAATGGTTTTCCTACAAAGGATCCAGAGGATAGCGAGTCTGCCCGAATTTTAGGCTTACAGCGGGATGGAACCAACATGTGGAAACGACGTGCGATGATTAAACCAATGAAAGGAACAACCTATAAGAATTTGAGATCATGGGTTGCTACTATCGCATCATCGCATCTTCCTATTCTAGGTTGGTTATCACCAGCAGCCAGGGCATTAGAAAGGCTCGGTGTTCTGAGCAATCCTGCCGCAAAGTCAACGGATCTACTCGACCAGGCGCTGATTACCAAAGCTCGAAAACTTTACGACGATATTCAAGCTGCAGGCGATCCGGCTACAGGAGTCTTCACCGTTGATCCTGACGCCCCTTGGAAACTGTACACGGATGCATCAGCCGATGCCATTGGAGCTTGCCTCTATTTTGGGAATGACCTAGTAGAAGACAAGTCATGGCTCAGAGACGTACGAGATATCCGACCAATTGATACAGTAGAGCTGGAAGCCGCACTCAGAGGCTTGAATAATGTGGTAGTCCCTTGGCTCCGAGCACTAGGTATTACACATGGAAAGACGATAACCATGTATGTTGATAACAAGCCAGTACTAGGTCAACTATCCAAGAAGCAAGCGAAGCACTGGGTGGCTTCAAAAGGCTTGGCATCAGGAGCCGCCGAAGTGAGACTACAAATGATTGACGATTTATTAGCCTTGTATAAGATTGATGTGATATATCAATATATCCAAAGTGAGCAGAATCCTGCTGATAAACTCTCTCGCATCCCAAGTTATCTCAAATGGGCAAGACCATCTAGGAGATCGCCGAAAGTTTCGGCAGCGGGAGCAAAGCAAGAAACCTGGCAAGACGTAAGTACTTGTAGAAATGGTGCTATATGGATTCCATCCTCTCAACTCCGTAACTTCGTGATGGATAATCATGATCATGAGGGAACTGAAGCGTTATACCAAAGACTCCATAAATGGGTTCGTGCGGAAGGACTCCGAAAGGTTTGCAAAGAAGTTGTTGATCAGTGTGACGTGTGCAAGCGTGGAAAGGCACACGCTAATCAAAACGCTGACGGCATAGACCAGACTACTGGAAAGAAGCGGAAACGTGACCCCGATGAGGTGCATGCAGTAAGAAAGTCCGCAATACCATTCAATAAAGTTCACATCGATGTGGTTGGTAATTACCGAACAGTATCTGGTCGCAAAGCCTTTTTTGCAGTGACCCTTGTGGACAGTGCAACTGGATATGCACTGGCAAAAGCTACCAAAGGAACTCCAGTCAGTGAAGATGTGGAAGCACTTTTTGCTCACATGTTCGAAATCTATCACACAACACCTCTTGTTGTATGGTCAGATTCTGGAAGGAATTTGGTATCCGAACGAGTCGAAGCATTTTTGTTGGAGCATGACGTGCTTCATTTAACCACAGCTAAGAATACGTCCCTAACAAATGGAAAAGTGGAAAAATTCCATCGCACACTCAATGAGTACTTACGAACACACGCCTCTCACGATGAAATCGGATGGCCAGAATTTCTGCGCCTAATCCGTGAAGGAGTTGCTAAGTATAATACAACACCATTTCGTGGTATATCCGCTCATGACAAGGTCTTTAGGTTTCCACCACAATGTGAACCTTATCGACCCGTCGAGACGAGAGATGAATGGGATGTTTTATGCACGCCAACTTCCTCGGAATGGGAAAAGGGTCTAGAGCCAGGAACAGGTGTATTATATCGGAATCCAAGACCGAATAATAAACTCACTGATAGATGGCTCGATGCAACTATAGAAGCCAGAGTTGGTCCAAAGACTTATATCTTGAAGGACCATCCGGGCAAATATGATTTAAAAGACATAAAACTATTGTCTCCGATTGGGGGAAAATCGGACCAAGCATAAGACGCGTGATGAACGTCTTTGTCTCGATAAGGCTAGTAGTTCTCACATGAACGACTCCTGTCTCACGACTTAGTCTTCAGACAGAACCCTCTGCTTTCATCGAGACTGACGCGTCCTCTCACCTCTGTCCGTCCTCACACCCTGTGTTTCTGTATGAGTTCGTATCTTCAGTCAAGCAAAAAAAAGGGGAGGGGTTGGGGGGGGGGGGGGAGTGGAAAGTAGTGGAAACATGATGACACACTTTGCCATTGTGCCACTAGCTCGTTTATGCCAGAACACATAATAGGTTGCCAATAGGCTCGAGACCGGTATCCGGAGCCGATCCCGGCAGTGATTGGGACAGTTGTTCCGTGGCGTTGAGCGAAGCAGTTTTCCTTTGTGTTGTACGCATACACAAAGGATTTTTGTCCCCTAGCGTTTCGCTAGGAACATTGCCATCATTATTCACTAATAATATATACAACTTGTATGTCCTTAATTTCCTCTCAATTTATGTCCTCCAGTAATGTTCAGTCTGTGTTGCGTTCAACTTTATTGATCATATTATCGCAGTCTGCCAGCTGCGTCAACCGTCTAGTCTCAGAAACCTTCTTGTCGATTGCGCTATGAACACCCCATGATGTTCAGTTGCAGGTACAAAATGTGGAGCGGCGCATGACATGGTCAATAATTTAAAGGCTTGTAAGATCAACACGAACACTTCATCATTAATTGGTTGGACATTTCATATGTTGTATACTGTTGTAAGTGATTGTTCATACAATCCGAGAATACGATGATGGAATGAGGGGACTGTTGGATGAAGAAATTGTTAACGGCTTGTCGATCGAAATGTTACCGCACTGGTCTTAATATCAGGGCAAAAACTTGTAAGGCTTGATTGAACTTATCCGATGTGGAAAATATTCACTATAAGGTCAGCTGAAGGATTCCTTCACTCGAGAGAGACACACTGTGTGCCACGTGGGATTGAGACAGCGATCGATGATGATGCACCAACAAATTGACGACACGAATTCCAAACTCAACAGTTGGGCGTAAAAAATTATCTCAATCAAATCCCCAGCGTTACGATGATCAGATCTGATGATCGAACCTTCACATTCACAATAAATGAATCGATAATCTATCCAGCAAGGGAGAGACAATCGAGCTAGATGAAAGTTCACTGAACAACTCCATCATCATGAGACGAAGTCAAAGTGAAAAATTAAACCTTCTTTCTTCCTAGTATCTTATTGACAGCCGCCGCAGCATTCACGCGGCCGAATGACAGAGTCCTTTTCCCTCCACTGTCCTTGACACCTGCGGTGGCCGTGTCCATGATGATACTTTTGATGTAAGCAGGGGTCAGCTCAGCCTTCAGAGAAGGTTCAAGGCTGTAGAGCATCCCAGCTATACCTGCTACGATAGCGGCGGCAGCCGAAGTGCCCGACACAACGCCATACATCCCTTCAGGCCCTTCAAGAAAAGTTGTACCTATTTTGTAACCTGGAGCGGCGATATCAACAGCTGAACCGAAATCGCTTTCATCCGTAAGTTGCATCTTGGTATCATACGTTGCAGCCACACACAACACTCCATCAGTGGGTGAACGGCCGAGGGAACAAGGGAAGTATGGGATTATGTCAAGATTTAGAAAGTAGTTCCCTCCCGCAAGGACAACGAGCATGCCAGCTGCAGTTGCTTCCAGAATCTTGTCGGTAACGGCTCGGGAATCCATTGATCTGGATCCCTCCGTCATGAGAATGACCTTCACATCATCCTTCCTCTCATTGATCAGGTAGGTGAAAGCATCCGCGATTGCAGACCAAGTCGAAACTTCACCGTCGAATATGGGCAGTGTCCAGAATACCCGCCATACCGATCTTGTTATTCCTGATAGCACCAACGATGCCAGCCATCTGGGTTCCATGGTATCCTCGAGGACTGGTATCATCATTCTTATCAACGACGTTGTAGCCCTGGATGACAGTACCCTTCAAGTCAGGGTGAGTGGCCTCGATTCCGTCGTCAATAACTGCGATGGTCACAAGTGTTCTCTTGGGAGTAGAGTCCAGGATACCCCAAGCCTCCGGTATAGAAATGGCCTCGAATTCTGCATGTCATAGAATTCGTCGTTAGGATCCCCGTTCACAGGACCAAGCCCACGGACATTGCCATTTTGGCCCACCTCTGCTTCAACGTAGAGAAGGTTGCACGAGAAGAACCAGAATGGTGTTAGGAGGAGCTTCATTGTAAGCCACTAGGATGAGCAATTGGCTTTGCTTCGGCGTGTCGAAGTGTACGCGTAAACTATCTTCTTTGAGTCACGCAGATTGGACGGATGAGTTGAGTGATGGATCATCCGTGTTGGCAAGTAACTTTCGAGTAATGGTCTATATAGATAGCACAAGTCATCAGGTGCATCTGCTCAGGTTTGAATAGGTCTAGCATATCGTTATCAGTGTAGCAAAGACGCCTGAATCGTCGTAATGGAGAATATTGAGTCACATTCGTATAGGCATCGGTGAAACCGTACCACGTACGTGAGTCACGTAACGTTGCCTACCACACGTAAATGTAAAACGTGTGATGCGGCCTCCGCGTTAGATGCGTAGCATAGGATGCGTGAGTGCGCAAAATGGGTATCTTCGCCCTATAGATAGGCAACGTAACGTTTTTTACGGTTCACGTTACGGCGAGCGTAACGTAAGCAGTTTACGGTTACGGAAAGGCCTTACGACTTTACGGTTGGTGCTCAACTGCTTTGTTAGAAATGTGGCTGAAACATTCGCTGTAGTGCACTCCTCCATAGCTCAAATAGTTGTTAACTCATTTTGCGTGGCTCGGAAACCCGAACCGCTGAGAGCGTAACATTTGGATGGGCATTTACCACTCGTCTCCTTTGCAAATCTCGCCCATCATACTCCCAAGCTGGCCCGGAACTGCCAAGCCAGTTTCGTCTACCGATGGGCATTCACATAAAACAGATTCAAGCGACTTGAATGATCAATTATCGTTGTGTCCTCTGCATCTCCGTAAAGTCCGTTACGACGCCGTGATTTTACGTCACGGAGCTTAAGTCGTAACCGTAAAAGTGAGCCGTAACGAAATTCTGCCCGTCTATATACATCATTTTCCATATTAGAAACACGATCAATATGGACTGAGCAACACCAAAAGGGCCACATAGAGCACCAAGAGCAAACACTTGAGCCGTATATCGAACACAGGCTATCTAAAATATTCCACGGTGGAGCGTTGGAGTCTCCAACATGAGATAGATGCTCTAGGTGAATGGAGCTTGTGCAACCAGAGACACCAGTTGAATACAATAATCTAACATTCATTGCACCAGAGCGTAAGTTCGCATATATCATGGAACACGTCATGCCCATGCATTAATGTACCACTAACAGGCGAAGATCTCAGGGCCCGATTCGTCGAATCTATCTCCTATCTTCCGTAAAGCAGCTGTTACGATACTTTAGCGCACGCCATATTCACGGAGCCCCACATGAATTCGAACATTTCAAGACCAAGCTCTGGTCATTTCGAGAATTTCAGTTTCAACCATACTTGAGAGGGTACACATTAGCGTAGAGTTCTATATGTACGTGGATAATCAGCCAATTTCCACGGCTGGTTTGAATTTGGCTTCTTCATTTGCAGCCCTATCCAGTAGGCAGGTTGCATCTGCGTGATTGCGTAAAAGGTTTTGGTGCGCTCTTCCCAGGGGTCCCCACCCCTGGCGCGCGGTGATGCCATCATGGCATATGTTGAAGCTCTGGGAAACACAGGTGCCCAACACCCAGGGTGTTGTGTTCCACAAGTGGTAGCAGCCCTTCTACATCGGTCTGTACATCATGACGAGTGACAATAAACATGCAGAAGCCCAGAGTACAACATCTACTGATGTGACGACATCTCATTCGACGACACGACATTCTGCTGTTCCAAAACCTTACACTGGTGAGAAAAGTTTCCGTGAGTGGTAACTGAGGTCTCGATATTACCGATTTGGTGGCCAATCCTTGGCCAATTCACGTTTTTGGTCGGAATCCAACTCTGACTTGATTTTACCGCTTATTATTCAACAGGATTGCGTTTAAGGGCAAAGGAGGGCAAACTTGATGTGTGTTCATTGCCAGTTTGATAAGGGATGAGTAAGTGAGGGTAAAACTGCAAGAGTGTTGGCTACTCGTTGGGGCGAGTACACACACTTGTCTTCGTCGTGATGACCGTCATGCGAAGTTACTACCTGCTTATGAATCCGGCTTTGAGGTGGTTCGATTAGTATCCCCTACGATGGTGCAACTAAAGCGGAGAGATAGATCGTCGAAAGTGCTGAATGTTCACGCCTCCTTGGTGGTTCCTGAGGTAGCTAATTTGAGTAAAGAGAGCGGCCCTAACAGTAGTGACATCGATGACGAGGACGATACTGTTGAGATATTTTCGCCCGTTGCTCCCCAAGTGGAGGAGGTGGATGATGATGAAGATGATAATTATGATGATGTTTCGGTTAATCGTGGTTATGATGGGCACAAATTACGACCTCGTAATATTCTCCGCCCCTTGATAGATATAGCCCATCAGGAGGAGGGAATGTGAGGGAATGATATAGGATTGTGCGCTGTGTCGTGACGACAAGATATCGATAAGCTGAAGCTAAGCTGAGTAGGATTCCCTATTCCCAATAATTGTATTCATACTTGTTTTTACTCCTTTACTCCTTTGCTGTCACTTTTTCGATAACGCCTAATTTGCGTCATGGGGATGGTGATGCGCAGATGCAAAAAGCGCACACCATCGGGATCGATATAGTGACAGCAGCAAAGATGTTTCTGGGAGATGAAAGGACCGGGGGTGTGCAAGACACGAGGGGGGTTGCCGAGACCTCGAGTCGAGGTCGTCGATGCCATTAAGAACTTGCGCCTGCGAGCAACCTCGTACGCGAGCGTAAACAAGGTTTGTTCTCGGTTTATCAGATTGAGCCTCAGCTGCTGAGGCCACAGGCTGGCGCGAGCGCAACCAGTTGTAGATCTGCATCGTGTCTTCAGTCTCTCTCCGTCGAGGAGCCCCGATTTTTATTCTAACGACGTATGCACGTTCGTAATCGTGCTCGTCAAAGAGCCGCGCGATTTGCATTCGCAGTGGCGCTCGCTCGGGACAAGGTTTTTGATCCGTTCTCGATGGTCTTCGGTGATTAAACTGGACAGCTTCACAGGAACTATAGAGTTACGTTCGACACCGTTCTCAAATCATTAGGAAATTATTAGCTGTTGGAAGTGGTACGGCAAGTTGCGAGCGTTCATTCACCAGAGTGAGGAGAGGACTCTTGCTGTAGCATTCGAACTTGTCCCAGCAGCATTTGAATTTTCTCAAGACTAAAAGCGGTTACGCGGTAAAGCGGTAAAAAGGTGGCCCGATTTTTTTCCAATTATTTCCTTCCATTCCCTCGGAAAGATGAAGGGAATTTAAAAATTCTTTCGGACAGGAAAAATAGGAAAAATTAGGAAAAATGAAGGAAAATAAAGAAAAAAATTTCCGAAACTCCCATAAATGGGCACAAAAAAGCCAATGAACAAGAGGTCTCACAGCAGGCGGTGTCTGGAACATATGCCTGTGGTGATGGGCTCAGTTAGACTGAGTATAGGGAAACATTGTTCGCCAGGATGATCACAGATTTTGTGGCGAGCGATAATTAGATCCACACTTTCACTGGAAGGCCCAGCTTGCGGTTCCAATTATTGCATAACAAATAACTACTTACGTTACGCACGCCGTAAGTTACGGCGTGCGTAACGTTAACCGTAAAAAAACCGTTACGCTGCCCATCTATAGTGCAAAGTTCAAGGATACCATAAAATCAGCCATAGCGCAAAATCTCACCAGTCGACTCGCGCTTGCTAACCCTGCACAATTCGCGAGGCTGCACAATCCGACTGTATCCCCTTATACTTGGTATGGCTTTCTGTTGGAGGTTGAGGTGCTTAGAGATGACGATGAGAATAAACTGACATCCTTAGGATTACAGTTGACTTTTAGACGGTACAGGTGTGTAACGAAGTAAAACTCTCGGGGGCCGGAGGAGACCCGCACGCATGTGCAGTTGGCGAGAGGCCACCCTCCCGTGTCACGCGGTGGCCGAAGCCAGCCCACGCGCTGAGGTCTCTAACAACCGTCGGGGGGGTATTCTTTTTGTTTGGGGCCCGTTTGGCCTTTGCTCCTGTTTGCTGCACGAGCCACCGCAGCCTGCTGTCACCGGTGTTCTTCTCCACCGTGGACAGCCTCCTCTCAACCTCGAGCGCCCCCCGGGCTGCTCGGTTGTTCATTGTTCATTGCCTCGGCCTCGCACGGCGGTTCTCGCTCTCACCCTGCCTGATACAACGCAACGACACTATGTCTTACGATGCGAGTGTTAACGTTGCCGCCGCTCATCACGCCTAATGATGTCTCGCCGTTGATTCCTCTCCTTGCCTGGAACCAATCGCCAATGCCGGCTCACTGGTTCTCCGCTCCGCTCGGTCCATCTGCGGCGTATGACTTACTCATGACCCTGCTGAAATGCACGCTCATCAGCTCTGCGGCGATGTGATCCCAGACTCGCCCCACGATGCAATTCATGCCTGGTGGCTGACCCGAACCTCGAGTCACACCCTCGACCCCCGACCCCGACAGTAGTACTGTCACAGTACCACACTCTCTCACCGTCAGCGGCGGTGGCCACAGCAGCTACTTCGCCGTCCCCCGTGGCGTCGGTGTATACCACCACGTGTTTGTGGGTCATGCGCTTGGTACTCCATTCCACGCTGCGGCTGGTCACTCCCTCTCCGACTTCACCCAACAGTCTCGCCATACCACATAGAGCAGCCCTCAGGTCTTCGTCCGCTTCGGTATGCTCCCTCAGGGACTCCCGAATCAGGGTCCTCACATAGGCACGCCCACTACTCCCTCGGAGTACGCTGCAGGCGAAACTTAGCCTCCCTGCAATCTTTCTCCCCTCCGCCCCCTCGGGAAAGGAAGTCGTTAGCGCTCGCGCGGTCAATTTTCTGCCACCCTGCAGAAAATTGGGGACAAGGAAACAATGCGGCACAGTGATCTAGCCACTGGCACTACACTAGCGGTGATAGAGCAGTAAACCTTCAAGCTTTTCACTATCCTCATTATCTATTTAATGTCATCTGTGGAGGGTTCGTTCAAGGTGAGACGCCAATGAAGTCTTCCCGCCGTTTGTGGTGCCATCTCGAAGAG